CTTTTTATCAAACACAAATCATGTTTCCTGTAAAACATTTGCCAACAATAAAAACAAATATCCCCCTCCCTGCGTAAATCAGATGAAAATGTGGGTGGATGCGTGAATCCACAGACTATTCATATACATGCTCACTCAAAAGGAAACCTTTAGCAAAAAAATTTAAGAATCTATGGATCCAGGCTGATTTTAACATATACTGTTTTTTTATTAAATATGTAAAAAGATAAATGCAAGTTGGATGACTTGTGGGTAATGGGAATGTGTGCCATGCAATAGTTTCATATTTGTAATCTACACTGAAAATGCCCCATCAGTAAATTACCAGGGACGACTGAACAAACCAAAACTCAAAACTGAGACTCCTATCATGTTTCTGGGGATGGGTCTCCTCCCATCTCCATGAGGGGCAGGGCATCCTCCTCTTTGCACACATGTCCTGGCCAGGGTCAGCCCTCAGGCCGCTTGCTGACTGTTCGGGGAGGAAGCAGGTCTTGGTCAGCAGCGTTCAGTCAGCCCTCTAGTACCATCAAGGAGTCAAAGGCCGCCGTGCTCCTCAGAGCCTGCCTGGCCCCATGCTACAGAGAGATCCTTCAGCTGCAGATTTATCCTGGACGAAGCTGGCACTCCAGGAGCTGCTTCCATGGTCTTGGCCCCTGGCAGACATTTCTCTGGGCTGCATCTTGGCCTCATGTCAGGGAGAGCCCCGATGACTAACAGGACAGGCTCACTGGACTGCTACACATTTGCTGGGAGCGGCTGTAAAGGTCAGGCTCCCTGCAGTTTCATCCTAGCAGGATCCATGGGGAAATTTCCCTTAAGTCTGAGTATCTGAGTTCCAAGCAACCGACTCATTTTCAGTTTGTGGACACTTTGAGTAATGATGAGTTCCTTCTCTGTGTTGGCAGCCAGGAAGCTCAGAGGTAATGTTTTCCCCTTCATCCTGGTCAAGTCTAGGAGACTTCAGGGGATGCATGGGGCTAATGCCTATACCTCTGGCTTCATCTATTCCTTCCTTATTTCTCCTTCACTCATTCCTCACTTACATGCAGTTTATTGACTTAAAAATGTTAACTACTTCACTTTTCTTGGACTGAGGCATATATGGATTCAGAATCTGTCTCTTTAGATTTCCATTAGAGTAACTGAGGGATAATGACATATTTTGGGAGTAAAAAGTCACTGTTGACTGTTGTTTTGCCTAGGGTGGGTGCTTCTGAAAGCAATTAAATTGGAGAAAAAAATCAAACACTCCCCTCCAAATTTTTTTTAGCTTAAGAATTTCTTCTGGTGTTCAAGAGAAATTATTAGCAGCTTTCCTACATATATTTTTAAATTTAAAGAGAGACTGTTTGGTATTTCCCTCTCTATTCTTCTTGGGGACACAGTTGTGTCAACACTTGGACACACACATCTCAGAAAGAAACATGACCAGGAATAAACACCCTTTCTGTGAAGAGGCAGCCAATTTCGTCACAGTTTCCAGAGCAGTTTCTTCAAGGGAGCAAATGACCAAAGACTTCCATGGATGAGATACATGGAGGTGTGAGTGTTTCCCGTGCTGGAGCTGCAGCCTCGTGTCTGCCCGTGCTGGCCTTCGGCCACCCCCAGTCTCCTCAGGACCTGAGGCCCCCCGAGGCAAGCACACAGCTTCTGCCTCAAGTCACCCTGTTCTTGTTGGGCCTATCGGATTGGTGACATGATCAAGCCCTGCCATGCTATTTTTGAAACAGGAACAGTGACTTGCAGGATACAGGATCCTCCTTAAACATCTTTGAAAGCAAGAGAGGCCACCTCTCGTACTACCATCCCCTTGCCCGGTCCTCCCCAGGAGGGAGGGACTAGGGCAGCTATGAGGCAGCGGGAAGTCCCGTGGCACCAGTACACCAGGCAGGGCTGTCAGGAGTCCCCCAGGCTTCAGCACCCCCACAGGGCCCTTCTAACATCAGGTCACCCGTTTTCTTTGTGGAACACAGCAAACATTGGAGATTCCACAGAGGCCTGGAAACCAGTTAGGTACCAGAGCGTCCAGCGAGGTACACAGGTGAGGACTGCTATGCCCATCAGAGAGGATGTTAGACTTAAGGGACACTATCTCATGTTATGTGCTGAGTACACAGCACGTGTGGTCCAAGGCATCATTTTAAAGTTGTAAGTGAAGTGGCTACAATGACTGCTTTCAAATCAAAAGTCTGGGTTCTCTTTTAAATACTTAGTAGCTGACAAAATTGTGTGTTCTATCTAGGGGTTCCCTACACTGTGAAGTCTTTGTTCAGTAAAAATGGTGGAGAGACAACCATTATACAGTCAATTTCCAACATTATGTTCTCAGTAAAAAAAAATGATTACATTTGAGCCCTTTTAGATCTACTGTCTGTATGACAAATGCAACCATTCACTCTGTGCCTACTAAATCTTTAAAAGGAGTACGTTTTTCATCTTTAGTGGTATCACATTTAAAAAAGAAAAAGGAGACAATCTTGGATGTGATGATAATATCTTAGCTTTGAGTCATCAGTATTTTGATATTTCAAAACCATTCTCTCAAGAAGAATTGAAAATATTCTGGGGAAACTACACATTTTTCTTCTCTCCTTTTTTTTAAGGTCAGGTGACTGTACAATGTCTGTGTTTACAAAACAGGAAGGTCTCTGTCCTTGTAGACAATTTAGCCTATAAGAAACTAACATTTGAAGTAATTTTCTATGGTCTTTCTGAAAAACTTTTAAGCTAGTAAAAAATATGTGCATTCCAGTCCATATAATAAATTGGACTGGAAGAGACTGTCCTAGTACTAAGCTGAATCTGGATCAGATTAAAATTCCAAACACATTTATGCCCAACTTTTTGTAACATCTCTAATTTCCACAGATTAGAAATTAAGGTGTGAGAGCAGCCAGATCTTACCAAATGTTTTAGTGAATAAGATAAAACTATCTTTAAAAATATTTTTTAAAAGTTATACCAATAACCTTCAAGATCTAAAGAAATACCATAGTGTAAAAATATGAGGGATGTTTGCTACAGAAAAGGAAATGTCTACTTAGTTTTCTTATTTTCTGAAAAAGAAGTACATTTAGGTACTGGGCTAGCTCTTACTGAGTATCATAACTTCAAAGGTATGTTAATATGTTAACACTCTTTAAAAACACTTTAATATACACCCAGTCTTGACAGAACAGTTACAAAATACCACCAAGAAACCTGTTTAAGAAGTTAAAACTTGGCAAGTGAAAAAGGTTCAACATTTTCTTTCAGTGACAAGAGTGAAGAAAGCATTTAACAAATGAATGTCAGTGTGGGCCTTGCATTTGCTACCATCCTCAACTCAACACCAGGCAGGGCAAGCACACCTTCTGTGTGAGCCGAGCCCACAACAGGTATGAGGCCCAGGTCAGGGGCTGTGGGAGAGGGCCTGCCCTCGGGAAGTCTTGTGATCTAAGACCCAGGTACCCTCTGAGGGTCCTCCAGGGCTCAGTGGACTGTAAGCTTTGCCTCCCATTAGGGAATAAAGCAAAGGTCTTCCTACAAGTGGAGAATGTCGGAGTTTCCTGCTGGGCAAAGCAGGAGCTGTTAGACATCCAGTGAGATGCTCTGTTCTCACGCTGGTGCGGTTTGGCAACACTGCGCCAGCGTGAGGAGTTGCCTGCCTGTGCTTACTACCGACAACAGCCACAGCGATCACAGTAGCTGGGTTCTGGCAGTGAGAGGAAGATAAGAAAGGTCAGAAATGAAGTTGTGTGTTTGAGAACTGGCATTTTTAACATGTAGTCACATTAATGTTGCCCCCCTCTGGACTCCTGGGCCAACCATAACATCAGCAGGAACACACTATCTCTTTAGAGGTGATCTCAGATTTAAGAAAATGGAGCAAACGTGTTCTTTTGCCATTTCTGAAGCACTGGTCACGTTTCCTCAAGCCCGCCAGTGGGCCTTTAAAGTGGGTCACATGCATTCTTGACCATCTGTGTACACATATCTAGGTGTAAGATATAGGGTTTACAACCCCAGCGCTGTGTGCTTTGAGATTTCACAACCCAGGCAACAGCTCAAGGACTTGTCACAAATGTACCCTGCTGAGAACTGCACATGGAGAAGGGCCCAAAGGCAAGTGAGTGGAAAACAGCTGCCGAGGGAGAGAAACAAAACTGGCCTCTAGCTGGTGCCTGAAAGCGATTCAGAGAAAGCTGGCGTCTCCCATGGCAAGAAGGGTTCTGGCTGATCCTCAGTGACCTGCAGGGGGCAGAGCTTTCAGCAGGCTGTCCCCACCTGTTCAACGTCTCTACAGGTGGCCCACTGGCCACTTCAAATACATTCCTGCTTGTCACCTATTCCATTGCCAGTAAGTTTTGGATTCCAGGTGTGTCTATAAATCATCACTGCAAAGTCAACAAACCAGAGGGAGGAAATACACGTAATCTGTGAGCTTTTGCCAGTCACAAGTTGTTTTGGACAAAGCATTACTCTGCAACATCAGCCTGATTCTGCCACTTCCCTACCTGCCCAGCCTGTCCTGCCCAGATAGCAGGCCGCACCTGCAGGAGCTAGCTTTTGCTTACTTGCAAGTGGGATATTTCCCAAGGGAATGGCTTATCTTTATTCACTTTTGGTAAAGTTTTTTAAAAGGTATTACAGCTGCTACACTTTTTATCAAACACAAATCATGTTTCCTGTAAAACATTTGCCAACAATAAAAACAAATATCCCCCTCCCTGTGTAAATCAGATGAAAATGTGGGTGGATGCGTGAATCCACAGACTATTCATATACATGCTCACTCAAAAGGAAACCTTTAGCAAAAAAATTTAAGAATCTATGGATCCAGGCTGATTTTAACATATACTGTTTTTTTATTAAATATGTAAAAAGATAAATGCAAGTCAAGTTATTCACATATTTAGAGACAAAAAATTATTCTACCATGCAACCACAGGTAAGTAATGTAAATGAATGTGATACATCTGATAAGATTTCATTTATTATGTCCTTACTTATCTATATTTATAATTAACAATACATATGTTTACATTCCTTTCAGTTTACATTTAATATATAACAAAAGACTTACGGTGTCCTATTTAGTAAAAGTAATCTGAATGCATACTAAACCTTAGTGGAATAATGGAAATACTCACCAGGGAAGGGAAGAGTTCTTGATTCCCTTCTGGAGTTTACTTCTCTCGGGTCAATGGAGTGTCTTTGTCTTTTCTTTTTCTGCTTGGACAGACGACAGGCTCTTCCTCTGCCTCCTGCTTCAATCACTTCCTACCTGACATGAGCAATGGAAGTGCTCAACCAGTCACCCCCCTTCCAGAGGGTGGGCGGGGGGACAGAAAGGACGCCTGGCTCCTGAGGGAGGTGCAGAGCGTGCACCAAGGGATGCTCCTCAGGCCGGCATGATGGTGTCACAGCGGCCACAGAGTAATGTGTGCCCTGGATGCTGAGATGAGAATGAAGGGAGACAGCCACCAGGGGGAAAGGAGCCCTGGGAAATGAGGGTGGTCTGCACAGAAGCTGCAGTGCAGTGAAGAGGCCTGGGAAACCTGGCTGCTAAAGGTTCCCCAAAGCTTCAGCAAGGTCACTTGCGATGCAGCACACTGGAAGGTGTTCCAGGTGGGGACGCGAGGAGGAATTTATAGCTCTTCTCTGAGCAAGTGAACAGGCTCCCCCAAGATGCTGGGGAGAATGATGTACGGCCATGGTGAGGGTGGCTGGGTGTCACTGGTGAGGCTCACACAGGTAACACGTTGATCATGTGCATCCACATGACAGGAGCTGGGTCATGGCACAGCTGGCACTGGGCATTAATGAGATGCCCAGACAGGAAAAGAACTGCCTAGGAACTATGAAGTGCCACCTGAATGGAACTGTTGTGCCCTTTTATAATGCCTATTTGAAAATGGAGACTCAAGTGAATGCAGCAGAGTGGACCCCGTGTAAGGCATGATGCTGTGTAGGGCACAAGGACTACCTGTGGCCAGGTGTGGGGGGATGTCCCTGCCAGGAGCAAGGCTTTCTGGCCTGAGAGACGACCTGCCACCAGGATGCAGAGCAAGCAGGAGACCAGGCAGGGAAGCCAGACACCACAGACGCCTGTGCAGCCCTGCAGTGCTGGTCTGACCGCCAACACGAGCCACACTCCTCACACAGAATGCAGTGAGTACCACTTCACTGCACAAGATTTATTCTGAGAAAACTTCTTTTGGTGGAAAGCTTCAAATGCTAGAATTTAGAATTAATTTAATCATCAATAAATGTCAAAGCTTTATGATACATAATTCAGAAATTTATTTTAAGCCTTTTCAGCTAAGATGAAACTGGGGGGCACACCTGCTGCTTTTGTTGCACCTGCTGAAGTCGAATAACAAGTGAAAGTAAATCTGAAGTCATAAACCAAGTGAAATGAACAATCTGGGAAGGGTTACTATCCGTCAAAGGGCAAATAAAAAAAAAAAGAGGAAAAGATTTGGGAAGATACTAAGAAAATGTGCAAAATTAGTTTTAAAAATAAGGAATGCTTTTAATTCATTAATGTTTCCTCTTTTTATGAATTGCCACAGTGTAGGGAAGGCCAATGACAAGGAGGGCCGCAGGGTCACATGGGAGAGATCCTGTTCCAGACGCACAAGAGCCACAGGGGTCTCTGTTCTGCCATTCTGGTGTCAACACCATACCTCAGAACCAGGAGCTCCCTTGGAATTATGCTCCTTATTAACAAGGTCTCCACTTCCACTTGGGCGGCATGGGGCTGCACACTCAGAAGTTGTTCTTTAGAAGCTCCCTTGTGTGGAGGAAGGAATTGGGCTGAAACCCACACAAGCAGGAGGGAACCTGTACCTATGCAGACCCCTCTGGACTACAGACACCTGATGACAGCTTTTGGCAAGAGTGGCTGCCCACCAAGAGGACCCTGAGGAAGAAAACAGCATGAAAACCTGGGTGGGGGACAAGCAGTTAGAGGGCTAAGTCGAGGTGGTGTTTTTCTTGAGTGAACATCTTTAAATTAAACAACACACTGTGTGGTGGTCTAACATGCTGATGTATGGACACTGCAGGGCCCTGAAATCCTAGTCTTGATTCCATTTTTTTTCCCTTTAGTGTTGAGAGTAGAGGAAGAAACTGTTTTTCCCCATGAAACAAGTGAATGTTGTTATGGCTTTCGTATCAAGGATCCCTTTCCCTTTGTTTCAACTTATTATTTGATCAAATTTATGCCGATAGGTTAGACTTGAAAACATCAAAGCACCACAAATGTGTGTGACACCAACTGACACTGGGTTGAGAAATGCCAATGTAAATACCATATATCACGTTACCATTGTTTCACACCAGGATATAAAGGGGCTGTTGGTGGGTGGGTGGGAGAGTTGCTCTGGGAAGAAATGAAAAGAGCAGAACCAATCTCAAGCAGCCAAGTGGCAGAGCTGAAGGTATGTGACCCCATAACCTCTCAGGTAGGCCAAGCAGCTGGCCGCTACGGGTCTTGGCAGAGGGAATGGGAACTGAGCGCAGCGGCTGGCAAACGTGACAGTGCTGTGATGTGAACGGCACACAGGGAACCACTGGTTTCTGTTGAGCTTGAGGCCACACGTTCCAATTCTCCAGAAGAAAAGTTCTCACGCAAAACACAAGTGTTGAGAGTCGCCAAGATGGTTCAGTATTCTTCCTGCTGCTGGGGCTGTGGCTCGTGGACTTGCTCCTCCGCTTCCGGCTCTTCCGGGTGGCCCTCCTGCGGGGCATGGGGGAAAGCTTCAGCAGAAACAATGGACTGTGCTAGAGACCCTGCAGTGGCCCAGGTTGTGGAGAGCATGGGCTTAGGCACATCTCCTGTGCGAGAGCCAGTGCACACCCTGGCTGCCCTTATTTCCCTGCTCCACTGGAGAATAATGGGTCGGCCTAGAGCACAGTCACCAGGCGTCACACATCAAACTCTCCTAACCATTCTGGAAGATCCTCACAGTACACACTGCGTGCTTTCCTACCCTCTGTGACAGAGTTAACCCAAATGAGACAAACTCAAGGGCACCATAACAACCATGGACAAGCCTGCTAGGACAGCACAGAGGCCTGGCCCTGCGGTGCGCTGGACAGCCACCCCGACGCAGACAGCTGCTGATGAGGAGCTTCTGACTCCTGTCCTGCCTGTTAATCTTCTCACCTGGCTGCATGTCTGCTTGAAGCAGAAAAGCAACTTATCAGAGTGGTAAGTTAAGGATGATAACCAGGTTTTGAGGGCTGCGCTGGGCAAGGCGGCCTCTCTGACAGTGGAGCTCAGGAGCTTCAGCTCAAGGACTCTAGGGCACCTATTATGGGTATGTGAGACCTTTTTTACTTACTCTCTGCTTACTGGCTATGACTCAGAGGGTCAAGGTGTCCTCTAGTTAGCCCCCAGTAACCTATTTATTCATTTGCCTAACCCAGTGAAGCACATTGTGAACACCAACTGTAGGGAACTTCAACCCAGTCAGTCATATTTGCACATCGGGTGCTTTGAACTCACAGAGGATAATCAGCTCTTTGTAGCACAAGCAGAGGGAGCATGGTTGACCAATCCAGAGTGCTCCCCCACCAACAGTGCATTACGCCCTGTGCAGGACCTACAGAGGTGCTCAGGTCCTCTCGCGCTGTGCATACTCCTTTCATACCGTGAGCCACCCCTCCTGTCTGCTCCTACCAAGGTCCCTTAGACCAGGTCCAACTCAAATGTCGCAGGACCACTTCCCTGGATCAGAGCCACAACACTTTCTTTTCTTCTCCTGCAGCACTGTTTCCTCCTTGTCTATAAAGTATGAATTGCAATCTAATTTTCTTGAGCCTTGTGGCTTGCCCACTGATCTGAGGTCACTGAAGTCAGTGGTAGGGCCTCATTCACCTGTGTCACAGAACCTGATGCATGTTCTATTAAGGGGAAGAACTCAGAGGGTGCAGAGGAGTGGATGTCCGAGACTACCAGACTATCAGTCAGTCACAGGCTGCTGATCTTCAGAGAGGCATTAGAATGTCAAGGTTATAAGCATGAACTCTAGGGTTCATATCCCAGGCCCACTACTTATAAGTGGGGTGACTTTGGGCATGTAATTTAACTGCTCTGTGCCTGAATTTCTCATCTATAAAATGGAGGCTGTAACAAGAATACCCATTTGACAAGAGTTTTCAATGAGTTTCAGTGATCAGTGAATCAGTGGGGTCACTGAAATCAAGAGGACACAGCGAGTTCCAACAAACTTCTCAGAACAGTGTTTGGCTGTGACAGTGCGAAAGAGGGAGTCACTGGCTCTCTTGGTACGTGGTCTCCTCTTGTCTAGGGGCAAAGAAGGAAACTAATGCTCGTGGGAGTTTACCAGGGATGGTGGACTGGCAATTCCTAGGTGTCTGTCCTATTACAGGCACTGCCTTGGTGGTGCTGGAAGGCTTCTCTCTCTAAGCTTTACCTCCCTGGTTAATGCTTCTGTCAGGCCCCACACCACAGCCTGTGTGTGAGAGTGTGAGCGTTGAGTGTGTCCTCACCGGCTAGCTACATGGTTGCCTCTCCTGCCAGGCTCCCAGCCCCACTGAAGGTTAGGGATGATGTTTTACTCATCATCCTAACTTTAATGCTAGCATGCTGCACTCCATATCATACTGCTCAGACTTCAGCAGGTCTGAAGTGCGCTTTTCTTGTGTAATTGTTTTGTGTGTGTTAGGCTGCTGATGGGAAAGTCTTAGGAATGAGAATCTGTTTAACATTTTATAGAAAAGCTTGTTTGCTTACGTCCACATTGGGAGTTACCAGAGGGCTAACAGAGTTAACAGAGGACTGAAAGTCAGGATTTGGACTCAAGTAGTTACAAGCTTGTGGCCTGCTGTGGGGCTGGGAATCCACTGAACTAGCTACTTCTCATCCTTGTCAAGCAAGGGGGTGGCTCTGGGTTCTCCAGCTGGCCATGGCAGCCCTCTCATTCACAGGGCACCACCGTGGCCTCACTCATCTGCAGCAACCAGAACCCCAGACCATTGCCCATTGCTACTGGGCAATACCAGTGTAAAGAGCAGACCTCCCAGGTCCTCGGCATACTGCTAATGCCAGGGCTGCGAGTCAAGGCAGTCCGACAGCCTGGCAGAATGCACGGGGATTCTGAGGCGGTTATGTCATGCACCCACCTCGGCTCCCACAATGCTGTATAGGCTCACAGGAAAAGTGATCGCATATTTAAGCAGGAGGCCAGGCAAGACCTCTGCTAAACTGGTAAATAAAGCACAGGATGCCACTCACCCACCTAACACGAGCACATCAGTCCACTGCATCTTACTCTAAATGTTGGGCTGTGAGTGATTGCGTTAGCATTCCTTATTCCCAGGACAATCATCAGAGAGAAGCAAGCTGGAAGACTGCTGAGGAAGGCTCTTGGCTACTGTGGGACAAGGGGGCCCCAGGAGGGAGGAGGGGTCATCAGAAAGCTCCCCTGGCCCCCCTTCTGGATGTACATGGTGCACCCCAGGTTCCTCTCTCTGCTGTGTTCATACTGCCTCCTCTGCCTGAAGAGCACTCTGCCCCTGCCCCCAGCCTTGCAGCCCCCGCACAGGGTCACTATGCCCATTATCAGCATCATGACTGACGCCTTGCAGACACTGGTGTTCCTGTCTGCCTTCCTTGCTGGGACTGTGATCCCAGCTGAGGCAGGGCTGTGTCTTCTCTCTCTACCCAATGCTCTGCCCAGTGACAGAAACACAGGCTGCATGCAGTGTCGGCTGAGGTGGGTGGAATCGTTAGGTCACTTTACAGGGGCTTCTGTGACAGCCCCTCGGAAAACAAGTGTGGGTGTTTAAAAGCAGCTGCCGCAGCCGGCAGTTCCACCAGGCAGCAAAACTATGTCTATGTCCATAGAACTGTGGCCCCAAGTCAAGTATTTAGGGTAACAATACTGAGAATATAAGAGAGGGACTGGACACCTGGCTGGTGACCTGCTTTGGAAAGTTTTATGAGGTTTCTGTAACTGTGAATCGAACAGCCTCACAACACAACTTCCATCTGGATTTGCACATCTTCCAAACATGTTATTCAAGGTTGTCTAACTGTAAGAGTCACCAAATGAAGACTTAGACAAGAAATCTGTCCAGCAAAGGCCTCCACCTGAAGTGTCAACACAGGGTTCACCTAGGTTTACCTGAAGACTCACTCAGTCCACACTTGGATCTTTCAGCTCCTCTCCTCCAGGAGGGAGACAACCAAAAACCTCTGCCTTTCTGATATGCAGTTGCACCAAAGGCATCACTCACAATCTATTGGCATTTCTTCCCCACACTGTGCACAGCACACCTGTGTGTGGGTGTAAATCCACCTACCCCTGAAGTGTGCGAATGACCTCAAAACAGGACAGTGTCAGGGTCGAGCACAGTGGGGGAAAAGGCAGCTTCTGAGCACGGGGTGTGTGTGCAGTGGCATGGCAACCTCTGAGCATATTTTTCCCTAAGTTATGCCTTTCCCTGAGACACCAGGGGAAGATGGGTGAGAAAGAGCTTTTTTAGGGCTCACTCACTTACTGGAAGAACCTGGATAAGTTTCTAGGAGGCTGCCATAGAAACAGGAACCTTGAGCTCAGGGAAAAAGGCAAAATGCCTGAAGGCTTTACAGTGTTTGGGAAGGTTCTTTGAGCCTCTAGTGGGAGAAGCAGAAAGGAGCGTAGGCGAGCTGCTCCTGAGCCTCTCCACGTCCACCCCTGTACCATGCCTCTCATGTGCATGTGCATGCTCACGATGCCAGCACAGGCAGCAGATGGAAAACACTCAGCATGGTATCGGGGCTCATGGCAGTCTCCCTTTCATTCAACACAGAAACCGGATTTCAAAAAGAAAAGGGTCTTGTCACATTATCAATAAGAACATGGGTATGTCCAAGATCCAATGGCTTACTCTCTAGAAAAATCTCAGTGTAGCCTGATGTTTTCTTTTGGAGTTGTCCACATACAGAGCTGCATCAGACTACATCCTGGAACTAGAAAACATTAAGGCAGCAATTGCATATGAAGACTGCTCTGGTGATGTATACACGTCTGTGGCTGTATCCAGGTCTCTTCCTGAATTTTAGAAACTCCTTAGCATATACTTAAATGGTGATGACACCATCTCTCTCTTTTCCCTCCCACATTTTCCTCTACTTGACGAGATCAGCACAGTGGTGGAACAATAATAAAGTGGCTTTACAGATGGGAACCATAATAAAGTGGCTTTACAGACGCTAACACAGGAACATGGGCTCTCGGTGCATGCTGACCTAGACGACAGGTGGCCAGAAGAAGCCAGGACAGCACTTTCGAAGGTGTAAGTCCCCAAACCGAGATAAGGGGGGCTAATGGGGAAAATTCAGGAACTTACTTCACTCTTCACTCGTGTACTGTGTCATCTCAATACTGTCAGTGAGACAAAGCCTACCTTGCAGCCTTCTCAAAGGGCTGCTGCCTCTGTTTCCTCCCTGCCCATGGTACCTACATAATGAGACATGGGGAACACAGTCCTCAAGATTTGGGGCTCTGACTTCAGGAAATCTGGGTTCAAATTCTAGTGTCAGGGCTTACTGAGTGTGGGTCGTTGGGCAAGTAACTTTATCTGTAAAGTCGAGATAAGGAAAATTCTGACCCCTCATAGGGATGTGATTAGGGTGACAAATGTGTATAGAACATGAGCAAACATAGCAGCTAGCACGTGCTAAATGCTCAAAAAGAGTGAGCTGTTACTATCTGCATGGTCTTCATTTGAAGGTGATCCCAGCTTGGGGAAGGGAGGGCATGAACTCAGGGCTATGGGGCCAGATGCAGACCATGCTGCCTCCTCACCCGGTGAAGGAGTTTGACCGCTCTGCTGCCTCAGAGCCTCTCATTTGTAAAATGGGGCAGCAACCATATCTACCTGACAGGACGCTCAAGTGAGTTAAAGGAGCTGGTGAACGTGACGCCTTGGCCCTTCCCCCTCAGCTCCCTTCGCAGGTGTCTAAGGACAGGGCTTGCTAAACTACCACACGGTCTTTCTGACTGATGATACCTGGGAGTACTTCTGCAGGGTCTGCATTACAGTGCCTGCACACAAGAATGGCTCTGAACCCAGACTGCAGCGGGCAGGTGGGGGTGACGTGAATGGTGGCAGAGAAGCTAAGGAAGTCATCTAGGCAGAGTCCCAATCACATTGGGAGGTAGGAGCTCTGGACCTCAGCAGGCCCAGCCATGACTAGGCAGGATTCAGGGCCTGTGCCAATGCCAACCCTAACACGGAGTTCACCTGCCAATGCTCCCAACACAGGGTTCCCTCTTGGGACAAGCTCTGGCTTGAGGTTAGGGTCAGACGGCTTCTCCTCCTGCTGGAAGTACAGGGCTGGGAAGATCTAGTGCTGCGTGCTGCCTCCTCCCACTAACGGGCACCTTCATTCACCCTCAAGGCGCCCTTAGACCTCGTTGGATTTAGCCTCACACAAGCTTGAGGAGAATGAGCTTGACAGATTCAAAGCATGCTCTGCAAGCAGGGCACTAGGGCCATGCCACTTGGGGTGGTGCAGACACACTACACATCAACCTTAGGCTTCTTCCACCAGATCTGAAAAGACAGAGGACCATATTTTGTGAAGCTATCTGCCTTTGGGACCTGACTGGGCAGATGCTGAGTGCTTCAAGATCTATAGTTGAAGCTAATGATAACCAAGACGTAAGTTTAAAAAAATATCTGGGGGAGATGAAAAAAGTGACAGAGAATCCCCAAACCTTGGACAGTTTTGGAAAATTTCATCACTAGGATTTTAAATATTACAGGGATTCAACTGGAATAAGTCATAAAGTAAACTTGCCAGCGGCGTGTTACATTCTGTGGAAATCCCAGCACACACAACTCAAGTACAGAGTCCTCAGAGCACACACAGGCCCCCCAAACCTACAGGGACTTTCTAACAGCTTCCACCTGGCCTGAGACGGCACGTGAGAGCCAGCCCACCCTCCTGCCTGCCTCACTGCTGGGGACTCTCCCTCCACGCACGCACAAGCAGGCTGGGGTGACCGCCCTGCTCTCCGCCATCAAGCCTGCCCCTTCCCCTCCTTGCTTCTCGAGTGTCTCGTTCCTTTGCTGCTCTGCACATCTGCTTTCCATCACCAGGATGGAACCACAATTCTGGGTGTCTCTGCAGCACATGTGCTTACAAGGAGCAGCCCCGCCAAGTGGGCCCTTCCCATGGAGGCCTTCAACAAGTCCTTTCCAGCAGAGGGCTGTTTATGGGGATGATCCAGAATGACAGGGAGTCACCTAGTCAGCTGGCTATGAAATGAAAACAGACGGCTGTGGGGCCTGCAGGGACAGGACAAGCATCTAGGTTAATTTCTCCTTTAACCACACTCTAATCCTGCAGGAAGAAAGAGGACTCCTTATGCACACTCTGGCTGCCTATTTGCTCTGAGCTGAAAAACACCTGAGATTTGGCTGAATAAACCCTATTTTTCTTTTCTCTGCATCAATCAGTCCCCCTGCTCTCCTCCTGCCCCCCCCCCCCAATCTCTTCCCGGGTTAATTTGGGGAATCACTCCCGCAAATATGGGGCAACAGATCATGCTGGTAATGGTCATTTCTCGGGGGGGGGGAGTGTCTAATGCATTGGCTGGGCTCTGATTCTGAGGCCCCAGGCGGTCCCCAAAAGTACACTGGTCACTGCACTTTGACTGAGAGCATCACTTTGTAACACAAGAAACAAGGACTCTCCTCACACTTACATGTTCTTCCGAAGCATAAAGGACTTCCATTAGTCGCTGCACAAGGTCATTGTTTTCCTGCCCATGTTCTTGGCAGAGTAGCTCAATCTCTCTCAGCTTTCCAAAGTAGAAATCCCTTTCCTTTTCCATGCCTTCTAGGGCAAGTTTTAATGAGTGTACCTGCAAGGGAGTGATGGAAGAGAAGAAAAGCACGAGAACACAGTTTAAGAGGAGACCAACCATGCTTGCTCAGGAAGACCCCAAACATGAAAAGACACATATGCATAAATAACCCATGTGCAAGTCTGTGGGAGTACAAGGGTTTGTTTTCTGATGCTTGATCCTGGGCCACAATGGCCAACTGCAACATTACAGCAGTTATCCCCTCTGCCAGCTGCCTGGTATCAACCAGTGCCTGAGCGGCCACTCCCTTTGACACAGCTCCATGCAGGCTCCGAGTGAGCGCTCCTCTCCTCTCCTGCAAGTGTGAGCCATAGCACATCTTTCTTCTACTTGTCCAAACTCTCTGCCCTGAGGGAGATGTGTGAATGGAGGAGGGAGGCTGTCTTGTTGTTACTTTACGTGCACTTTGAGGCTCTGTTCCTTCAGAAACTTCAGATGATACTAAGAGCCACTGTTAGTGTTGGGCCCCTTCTCAAATGTTCCAGACTAGACAAAAGCTCTCTACTGAGGAACAGGGCCCTGGTTGCACAAGGCAAGCAGAATGGGTCTGCCTTCATCTCTCCCTGGGCTCGCACTGGTCCATCACAGGAAAGGTGGGAGGGGATGGATGCTCCATCCATGCCTCAGCACAACAGCCCTCCTTCCTGTCTCCCCTTGATGCTGGTTCAGAGGCCTCGCAGGGCTGGGTGGTACCCACAGTGACTACAGAGACAGTGCTGTGAGGCCAGGCCCAACAGCCCCATCCCCGGCTGAGCTGACTCTGAAGGCAGCAGAAGCAGGTGCAGTCTCAAATTCCAGGCTGCACCTCTCCGGTGAGCACCAGAGCTGCACACAGGCCCAAACCACACCCTGTTCCTGCTCCCTGAGAATCCCTCATCCTTTTCTTTGACCCTCTTGTGCATTCCATGTCTGCACAGAGCATGCTCTTCAGGAGGCAGATCAAGGCTTCTGTGGTCCTCCACAGCTGACACCTCTCTTTCGTGTCACTCGTAACAGAATTTCCAGACATTGCATTTGGAATGGAAAAGTTCCTCTTCTTGATAGTAACTCTGGGCCTTTGTGCTTGCTGTCTGTCTGTGCGGACTTACTGAGTCCCTCTGATGCATACTGAGCACACGCAGTGCCCCTTCCCTTCCTGCAGGCCTGGCAAACTGGTGTCACTCCTTTCAGACTCAGGCTTCTGGCCCCATGGTGTTCAAACTGCCAATGCCCTCACGAAGCAGCAGGGCAGCAATCACTGACTTTCAACTCCTATTTCTGACATGTATACGGCTAGGACTTTTGTAAAAACTGAAGGCAACTGAATTCTAGGAAAAAGAAAACTCCTTTTATTCTAAAATCCTTTCTTGCTTTAAAAGAAACCAACCTCTCCCTGGACTTGGCCACAGAACCCCTCCAAAGCCTGCGCTGGTGCCAGCAGACAGATCTGTGGCAGTTCAGCTGTCTGTGTCTGCCAGCACTCCTGCAGGAGGCGAGAAGGGTCTCTGGATGCCATCAACCCACAGACACTAGTCTTATCAGCCTCTCGAGAGTGCTTTGGTCTGCATAATGAGCAAAGAGCAGAGGCTCTGTAGGAACACCGAGCCCAGGTAGGCCTTTGATGGTGTTAGAGTTGCATCAGGTAATAGATGCACAACTATAAGCAATCCCCACAAAAAACAGTGAGATCCAAATTATGTGATCAAAGATCGATTGGCAAATGGAATTCACAGTCCCACTCACAGATGCCTGCCTCCTCCCTCACATGGCACAGCAGTGGCTGGGGGCAGACCCTCAACGACAGTGGCGAGGGCATGAGAAGCGGCAGTTCTCTCCTCCCACTTCTGCTTGCAGTGCCTACACACCGCAGGTCCTCCTGGCTCTGCAGCCCGAGCTGGTGTCTGCTGGGGCTGCTGACACCTTCACTCTTGACCCGGGGGGCCCCCTGGGCCAGCAGGGACTCTGCCCCACTGCCTGTTTGCTGACCCACTCTCCAAGAACAGTCCCTAACAATTCCAGTCATCTTCCTCTCCCCAAAGTCAGTTGATTCATTTCTATCACTGGAATTGCCTGGCACAGTGGTATGTTTACAGAATGTCATGGGGAGATTGCCTGAATAAAGGAATTGGCCAAATAAATGAAAACTCCTGAATTTCATGGCACGTCACCTCCCTATTCCTACCGCAGCTCACTCTCCAGCCTAGGCATTTAACCCAGCTCTTCCCTGTCCTAGTGTCCTCAGTTCCAACACAGTGATGCCTCTGTGGCTGAGCACTAGCTTCAGGGGCCACCCCGGAGGCTTCAAGGACAGATAACCATGGAAATGGGTCTGGAGTAAAGCTCAGAAAACAGTTGTTGAATGAAGGCTCCTAATTTAGGGTATGCACAACCTTCCCTCTGAGGGGCTGGGGTGTGTGTGGGAGGCAGGCACTCTCCCCTCATGCGAATGCAAGGGGCGCCAGCAGGGAGTAGGATTTTGGAAGTAATGAAGGAATTACAAAGAGAAAGAGGAAGACCACTGGAAAGTCACTCTTCCTAGCACGGCACTGTGGGTGGTAGGATGAGGTCAGGGTCATGTGGGGCTCTTCAGCGGCTGGAGCTAAGGGGAGCCTAGGGCGGGCGGGAAGTGGGGCTGGCTGGCTAGGGCAGTAAGGGAGAGGGGCACAAAGGACCCTGGTTTCTAGGTGGTACTGTGGGTTGGCAGGCTGGGACACTGGGTGTGTTAGAGGAGACCACAGGCAGAGGAGAAATCATGAGGAAACATGAGGTGATAAAGACATCAGAAGAATTTGGTTTCCTAAAGAGAAAATAATTATAAATCTAATTATAGAAATCTAAGTATTATAGAGCCATGCCTAACTCTCTCTAGGTCTACCTGCAATCTGTGTGGAGCCTTAGGCACGCTGCCCACGGCTCATTGTTGCTGTCCCAAATGCCTTTTACCTGAGAAGTCATTACTGGAAATTCAGTATAGGCTCAAACTGAGAATTGGCAGATAATTAGAACATTCCAGTTTCTACATCCAAGTCCTACCTACTGGATAACTTAAGATTTCACCTTTTCCATTAAAGTGATCAGAATTGTAAAGAAACACCCTAGTTAAGCAATTGTCTTTTAAACTAGATCATTGATTGCGAATATATAATTATCTCAAAAACTGTTTCCACACTCTCGCTGGCTCATCAAGACTCAGATTAATCATTAAGAATGGCCCACCCATTTGGCTGGGAACGGCCTGAGGACCTTGATTAAAGGCTCCTCCCTTCGTGCTGGGAGTAGCCAGGATAAACGCCGGCTCCTAACTCAGGGCCAGGGCAGGCGACTTTGGCAGCAGGCCCTGGGCTACCAACTGTTTTATTAATTTTAAACTATATATCATCTTGGGAAAATTAACTATTGTTAGTTAGAATGCATACCTAAACTTTTATACTGAAAACTTCAAAGATAGCAGAGCTAGGTTTTCTGTAACCATGAGGAATATTAGATAAAAAGCAAAGTCCTACTTGAAGCACAAACTTCTGCTGAAGTGGGTAGTGTCAGGTTTTGTGCCTTTGCTTGTGTGCAATCGCTGGAAGTTCTAAGGGGGACAGCAGGGTATCTATCTTGCTATCTATCATACTATTAGCACCCAGCACAGTGTCTGTCACATAGAACAGACTTAACAAACAGTTACTGAAGGAAAGGAAGAAGAAAGGGAGGGAAGGAGACTAACTCTAAAGCCTTTAACACTGTCTAGGCTGACCAGAAGTGGGCAGGCAAGCAGGGGTCTAGCCTGGAGCTCATGGCAGGCACACAGGGGAGGCTGGCCTGTGAGCCTGCCATCTGTCCGGGGCTGAGTCATCTGTTCTTCTGTCCCGGTGTATGACTTTGAGATGTGTGACTCACATCTGTACAGCGGGCCTCTGATTTCACCTGCCTCAACCACTCCTTTTCTCTTTACTTGCTTGAAGCCATAGAGTCTCCCTTCCCTTCCCTTCTTTATCCCAGGCCTCTAAGGGGCCTGCCCCCTCCACCATATAACCTGTCCCGGAGACAGGGCTATGGAGGACCTGTTACCTGTTCATTCAGCTGTATGACCTGTGTTTCTAAATCTTTATCGGATCTGGATGCTGAGCTGCTGGATGAAGCCCTTTTGGCTGATGAGGGACGAGAAGGTGTGGATCCTGGTTTAGACACTGGACTTGATTTTGCTGCACCTGAAAGTAATCAGAATAAATTAGAAATACTGGCAACACTGAAATGCTTTTCAGATACACAGCAAATATATGATATAAGAGGACTTTACTGAAGAGTATGATATACCCCAGTGATCACTGCCCATGTGCTTAGAAAGAGTGCACGCAATAAAATGGCAATGCCATCACCTTGGGTAAGTTTTTTAACCTTTCTGAGAGTGGTTTTATTCCCTCAAGTAACATGAGATTAATGCACTTGCCCTCTCTCCCTCCAGAGATAAGAATAACAGACACAAAGGGATTTAAAGTTTTTTTTGTTTAAAGAGGAAAGGTTCTTAGATAAGCTCAAAGCATCACCATAATTGAATCTTTAACAAATAAGAAATAGGACCTTATAAAAGATTAATATTTTAGAAGAAATATCAATACAAATATATGTTTTTCTCTTTCAATATGTTTCCTAGCTTTAGCCACTGAAAGCCTGGGAGCAGTGGCATCTCCATAGCACCAAGCACACTTGGCACCAAGTCTTAGTTTCTAAATTTTTTGTTCTGCAATAAGTGGGCTTCTTGTATTGTCTGATTCCAGGGATGGGAAATGGAAAGTATGAGGTGAGCCTGTGACACTGCCATGTTGTGTCAAAAAGCAAGGACATGCTCAAGGGCTAATGTCCAAGGGTGCAGGGCCCAACTTGAGGAGGTCCTCAACTAGCCACAATGGGACACTATGCACACCAAAACAATAATGGCTGTAATGTACCGCAGTGCATTGAATTAAAAACAAACAAACAAACTAGTCCACAGTGATGGTGGGGAGGAGAAGGAGGACAGAAAGAGCTCCTTTATGGAACAGCAACAGCTACTAAATGTAGAAGAAATGAGAGAATTAGGAAGCTCACAATTTTCCAACACCCATAACTGATTCAGGAAAGGCTCATCGATTGAGTCTAAAACATTGAGCAGTTTTTGGAGAACAAGACATTCACACATGTCAAGGCATCACCTTATAAATTACTTATTATAAAGGGAAAAAGATGCACCTTTACAATGGGGAGGTCTAGGGTCAATACCTTAGTCAAGTGATTCAACAGCATCACTACTAATGATAGAAACTGAGGAATAAAAAATACCACTGATTTCAGGTAAGACTTCATTTATCTGGAGTTCAGCTCACAATAGGCTCTTGCTACCTGGAACATGACAGAGGCATGGGAAATGGCCTCTGCAGTCCAAACAGAAGCTATAATGTATATGCAATGACGCTTATATACCCTTTATGGATTAAGAAATTCAGGATCATTACTCAGGAGCCACCTACCCCCTCTCACTCTGAGTCTAGACTCGACCAGGTAGCAGCTCAGTCTGGGGTAGGTGCTCCTCTTACATTCTTCCATTGGCACGATCCCCCATGCCCCGCTGTGCCTCTAGAAGGCTCTTCAAGGGAAAAGTCTTACTCAGCTTTGTAGCCCCAGTACTTAGTGCACTGCTTGGCTGAACATGTATTTAGTGAAGGCACAAATGTTTAAATAAATCCATAAACAATTAATAAAACTTGGTTATATGTTTTCCAATTTTACTTTAACTTTACAGTTTATCAGCACCAACAATCAGAAGGAAGCAGGGTTACAAAGGCAAGTGTGCAGGCAGTGGTTTCAGTCAGTCTCCTAATTATGAAAGCTCAAACAGGAAGACTTACAGGGCTGGAGTTATTAGTCACAGATGCTAAGGCATGGCACCCTTGAGCACTGATGGCAGCACGCCCTTTAACATACATATGCCTCTCTGTCATACAGAAAAAAAGAATTTTCTTCTAAAAAATACAGGAAAATAAGACTAGTATGTTTTAAAATGAAAATGAGTAAATTGGGAATGACTTAAAATAGTTTGAATATTTGAAGGATAAATCTTCAGTGGCCTGGAAACCTTACCTATGCAGAAGAACTTCCCAAGGATGGCAGAGAGTGGATGTTCTGCTTTATTTGTGATTAGTCATGTGTGGTTGTGAGGATCCTTCATCTCTGGAGAAGCCACATAAAACTCTCCTGGAACACTATTTCCATGTTCTACTGGCCAAGCTCTCTAGCTGAAGGCCAAACCAACAGAGCACAGAAAACAGTGTGAACAGCAGGGCACGGACATGCTGGCCTGGCAAAGAGCCTTCTCCAAGGACAGCCACCAGCCAGCCTGGCTGGGGAAGTTCTTCAACATGAAGTCACTTCAGACCTTTTTACAAGCAATATACCACATTTTATTATAACTGAAGTCTAACTGAAGCTGTCTACGATCAACACCTCTTATTTACCAAGTACATGTTTATTAAGTGCCTACTGTGAGCCATGTACAGGATGCCCTGGCTCACCAAGCGCTCATGACCCCCGGCACGACCCCAGCATGACCTGCTCAGCGTTCTCAGAACCAGGTGGTGCTCTCGACCGCGAGACCACAGAGGGTGATCCCGGCCATGTCGCCACTGCCAGGGATGCTCGTCCTCCGGCATTGGGGCTACTGAGTCCACTGTCCTTCGGGTTCCAGCTTGTGAGATGTCACTGCTCTGGGAGGCCACAAAGACCCAAAACCTTCTGAATAGCACCTACCTACTGCAGTGGTATATTTATTTATTTAATGGCTGCTTCTCCCATTAGAGTTAAATTCCATAAGGTAGGAGTTGCATCCATTTTGTTTTGTTTACCATTTTATGTTCTTATCACAATGCCTGACCCAGAGGAGAAACTCAATAAAAGTTTTTATAATTCCTTGAATAATTCCCAGGAGAGGCATCTATTCAGGATAGAGATACCAGGGAAAGCCTGAGAAGCTGATGCCAACACTGGTCACTGAGAGCAAAAGCCAGCAATACCTGTAGGAAACCAAACAAAAATCATCAGCCTCCCAGAAAGAGATCTCTCCCTTGGTTTCAAGACTGCTTCTATTATTCCATAGGCCCTTTACAGATGGAATTGGTGGGTGCGTTCAGTCAGTAAATGGTTAACTCTGAATAGTGAGTTTGTGCCAGGCGGTCCAAGTCTCTGCCGTGTTCACTGCCTCTTCTGGAGGAGACAGCCCTGCAGAGGAGCTTCCCAATGCCAGCCACACACCCACGCAGGCCAGTTCTCCCTGGGCAGGCTGTAGTCCCTGAGTGGGTTCCTCAGACACATGTTCTTTTACTGCCTTATCCAGTATCATGTAACTTAAAACAAAAAAGTGGAAGGAACAGAAGCTGATTGCTTGTAAAACAAGGCTAGTACTAATTTTACTTTCAAGACATCATCAAATGCAGCCTGAAGAAACCTAGAATGTTTGAAATGAAGTAAAAGTAGAAAGGTTGTGGCTAGCCAATACCCCATGGAAAACCAAGTTATCAGGGAAGAAAAACTCTCAGTGGGAGAAGCTGGCTAGGGCAAAACAGCGTCGTGGGCCATTCCATGTGGCTCAGCAGAGGCCAGAGCTGCTGCAGTGACCGACACTGTCTTAGTTCCAGCTTTTCCTGAGCAAACATCCCTTGCTACTGAGAGACAAACTTACGGCGGCTCAGTCTCGGCCTTAAGATGGCACCTGTGCTTCACAGAGCCTGTGAGGTCAGTTGGGGAGTGGAGCCCCAGGTCTCACCCTGGCACAAGTGCACGCGTGTGTGTGGATCTGAGATGGGAAAGAAGGCGGCAGTGGACTCAGAGCGGGCACTCTCTGCCGCGAAGGAGGTGTGATCAGGCAGGCGCGCGGTCCATGCTCCATTACCTACACTGGCTACACATGGGATGGAAGACACTTCCCCCATCCTCCGACAGTCAGTAACTAGTGTCTGCAATGTAATAAATGATTAGGATCTGAAATCTAAAATTGGAGGGTTTTGAAATTCTGATTGGCTGGAAACTGATAAAAGGGGAAACTGTCTGATGACTGAGGATAGAGGTCTGCAGTGGCTATTTGTGCATTTTTACCTTGTATGAATAAATGGGGAGAAATTAAAGAACAGGAGAGAATGGGGAAGATCTTAGTATATTCAGAGATTTAAGAAGTTTTAAAAATACCACACAATTAAGGGTTAGACTAAGAGCTCATTTTCAACAGAAAATAAATTGAGCTCTTTAAATCATCATAAGCTGCAATTTGATAAAGAGGTAATTTATCCCACCAGCTATCGCAGGATTAACATACACTGAGAAATACTAAATACTAAAATTTATAAAAATGAAAATAAATTGCTTTGTTATATTCAATAATTTCATGGCTTGTTTTTCAGAATAAATAGTAATAGACAATTTCCTGAAGTATGTCACCGTCTTTAGGTGAGAACTATGTTTTGTTTATTTGCCTTAAAAGTCTTGTTGTCTCTCTTCTTTCAAACCACATTCAAGTGTACCCAGGTTCTAGAGTGCAAGATATTCTTTCCATTTACCTGGCTGCTATAATAAGGATGTTGTCAGAAAATTGGACACCTACCAATGTCAGTAAATTTAACATTGTTATAATACTTCTATGTATGCTATTTATATTCCAGTTTTTGAAGTGACCCAATAATGTCTCTGATAGCATGTAATACTGTTTCAGGTATTAGGGTCCTGAATAGCTGCCTTCCCGCTTCCCAGAATACCCCCAAGTCCACTAGTGATTTCACTTCTGTGCCTTTCCAGTCCTCTTTACTCAATGATACTTATGTGAAAAACATTTACATAAAGGCTTTTAAAGAGAGTGCAGCTACCTTGACTATAATACAGACATAGATTTTTTTCTTCCAGCTATCAAACATTTCAACTTTTTTCCAAATTGCATTTGATGATGTCCTGAACACATTAGTGGTAGTCCTATTTTACAAGAGGAAAATAGACATAAATTCTGTACAAATCCCTGTGATTCTCTGACTTTACCCATTGGATAGGGCCATGATTTACAATGCCAGTCTCTGAGCAGCTGTACCTACCTTAATTAATGCCTTTAGGATTTGGGGTATAAATACGATTCTAAGACATTTTAACCATAGCTATAAAAAACAAAGAGTGGCCTGATTTATAGCCTGACTGAATCCAG